ATTCCAGTTAAATGTAAGAAAAAACCTTTTTTTATTTTAAGGTTGATTGGAAGCTACATCAGGTTGTCCAGGCAGGTTGATGAGTGTCCATCCTTGGAGCTATATAAAACCTGACTGGATGAGATTCTGAGCAGCCTGTTATAGGTGCCTGTACTAGGAGGTGATTTCCCCCACAGGTGGAGGATGTTGCCTTTCTCTGTTGAACTTCATGAAGTTCCTGCTGGTCTCTTTCTGCAGCCTGTTGAGATCCCTCTGACTGGCAGTGCACTGATCTGCTGTACCCACCACTCCTCCCAATGTTGTCTTGGCTGCAAACACACTGAGAGTGTGCTCTATCCTGTTGTTCAGGGCCCTAAGGAAGACGTTGGAAAGCCTCAACCCCTGGGCTCTGCCCTCCAGCTGGACTTTGCCACTTGTCACAACCCTTTGAGCTGGGCTTTTCAGCCAGTTTTCCATCCACATCCCTGTTTGTCCAAGCTTACGTCATCAGTTTGTATGTGAGGGTGTTGTGGGAAATGGCATGGAAAGCCTTGCTGAAGTAAAGACAGCAGGGTCCCCTGCACTCCCTTCATCCACCATGCCAGTCTTCTCCATCAAGGAACGTTCTCAGGCTGCTCAGGCATAATTTCCCTTTTGTACATCCGCACTAACTGCTCCCATCGCCTCCTTGTCCTCTGTGTTTGGCCCGTCGCCTACCCAGCATTGGGGTGAGGATGTCCAGCCAGTAGTTCTCTGGATCCTTGCCCTTGAAGATGGGAATGATGCCTCTCCACCCTGAGAACTTGTGAAGGGTTACAGAAACTTCATGTGGGACTGAGACAACAAACTCTGACATGTATATATTTATGTATAAATCGCATAAAAATCTATGCACATGTATGTGAAACCATGCAAGCTATATCTGAAACCAAAGGATGCTGTACAGCTTCAGGGCAGAGATTAGAGTGGACTCTGTTGTGCTTGTTGAGGATTTCAACATAGGAAACTTGGTCTTCCAAATTGAGGTGGGGACTTAGTTGTTCCCCTTTACAGAAGGCTCATAGACCAAGAGGCCTCCTGCACATCTTTGTTGGCAAATCCTTAACAGGAGCTGAAAGCAAAGCTCTGCTTTTGAGGTTGGGTGTTTTTTTTTTCCCCATGAGGGCAGAACTGCTGCAGTTATACCATGCTAGGTTTAGTTGGCTTGAACTGATGCTATCCTTCATTCGCAGTAAAGTCCATGCTACCTTTCCCTCAGAAGCCCTACCCTATCTGGTGGTGCTGTAAAGAAAGCAGTCTCAGCTATTTGTGCTTTTCCACAAGTGCCCTTGTGCTTTGAATCACAGTTATTTTTTGGGACACAAACATAATTACACCATGAGCCTCTTCTCACTGACCATCCTGATTTCTTCAGCTGTGGAGATGCAGCTCCCTGATGCTCCTGTTATCCCTGGTTTATATGCTCTTTTTTCTTCCTTCCTTTCCTTCTGCCTTGAGGCCTTTCCCCAGAACTTTCCTTCCCAGGTTGGGGCTGGGGTAAAGCAGGTGAATCAGCAAGGAGAGGCTCCACCTGCCCCATGTGTGGGCCAGCCAGCATTCCCCAGTGCATCACCACTGCAAAGCCAGGACTAGCACTACTGATCTGTAAATGCATAAACTCTTTCCCAACTGAAACCCCCACATTGAAAAATAACCAGGGAGGCAGGGAGTGGTTCTTTAGACTTAATAACAGTGTTAGTGCTAGGTCAGAGAGAAACTGGCCGTGACTTGAGTGCAGGTTGTATCTTGGAAAGAGGGGTGGTTTTTTGTCAGCAAGAGTGTTAGCTTGTGTAAAAGCCTTCCGATAACGATGTGTTTTAATGGCTGGAGAGAAAGATGGCATTTGCAGAACTCATTGTTTACTAAGTACCATGTTTTATGCCTCAGAATAGATTATCTTCAGGGCTTTCTAGGACATCAAATCCAGTTCCTGTGAAGTCAGTAATTTCTTGAATGGTCTTTCATCATTGTGAGTTATGAGCATACTTTTTTCCCTTCTTATCTTTACCAGCCCTGATTCTGCTTTCCCCTTTCCATCTCAAAGCAACTCGGCCTTTGAGTCACTTGATTTTGGTGGGAGCAGTCTATGTTGTAATGACGAGTCATTATTTGGATGCAAGGTATGCTGATACTACCCCTCTGTGAAGTACACTACCACTACTGTGCTGGGGCAAGGCTTTGTTAAAAGGGGACCCTGGGGCTCCAGGAAATATTTACAAGGGTCTTCATACCGTGCTGTGTAATGAGGATGGGAATGACACACCTTGGCTTCTGCACGGCCCACAGACCGTACAGCAGCATCTCTGCTGCCTTGGTGACTTGCTCACCATTGCTGCTTTGCTTTTGCTGTTGCAGTTAACGCGAGCCATTCGGTTTCAGTTGTCTTTCTGCTATGCCCTCCTTGGGTGATAAAGTTGCTCTCGCTGCTGCTGGTGGCTATAATCAGCATTTGCAATGCTCATTTCTTTCGTATTTATTAGGAGAGAATTATTAAGGAAGACCTAGTGTTTATTTTAAAACTTTCTAAGGATACTTCTTAGTGATGTTTGTCTTTCCTTTGTTTTTTCCCCTGCGCTGACCATGCAGTATTGTCTACCTTATTTGCAATATTGTCTGCCAGAAATAAACAGTTTGAATTTGTTTGATTTCCCACCTGTGACTGCTGCAATGAATACACTAAGATTTTGTTATTTTGCACCAATAATTGCATATTGCCTATTATGCATTACCAGTTTTGCAAGTTTATCAGGCAGACAAAACACACCAAATAGGGATCAGTCATTGCTGGCCGATTTTGATACTCAGCTTTAGCTCAGTATATGCTAATAATACTGTACACTGGAATTTGTTAAGATAATCTTTGCAAATAGAGATTTTTAAACTAGTCATTAGCAAAACTTCCTAGGGCATTGTGCAACGTTTTGCAAAAATGTTTGTAGTGCTCACCCGCTTAATGTGACTTTCAGTCTACTTAAATGTGCAGATATGATTTCTCTCGGCTTTTTTGTGCAGTACTGCTTTTTAAAGCTAATATTGCCTGAAAAGCTATTTCTTGCAAGTCAGCAAAACCAAAGCTAAGTCAGCACGTAAACCAAAAACATATTTGGATGTTAGTAAGTATGGGAAAAATAGACTGTAGTGTCTCTACCTGAAGACAGTGTATGTAGTCTATATTTTCTTTAGGCGGTACAATGTTAGGAGAGCAAGACTTCTTGTCTATTGTATCTTCTATCCACCCTTCAGGCAAGTGTCCAAGATGTGTTGTTACCTTTGTATGCTGCTTTCTGCTTGACACAGGCAAATACATTTTGAGTTTTCGTTTGTGCTTTGTAGACTCTTGTAAAATGTAGGCTGACATGTAAGTGAATTTTGGTCATTGATTCCTAAGAAGGTGCATTTCTTCTCACTTTGAAGAGCTGCTGATATAAAAGACCTTTATAATTACACAGATTTTTTAAAATTTTAGTTTTCGCTTTGCTCCATAGCTAGGCCAGGTGCTTTGGGTAGAGGTGGCTTGTGCAAGTGACTGCTTGGCCTTATGAGATAAAGTCAAGGGGAAGGAAAATGCTTTAGAAAATCTTGGAATGATAGTACAATTTTTTACTTGAGTTTAAATTTACCAGTTTCTCATGTAATACCTTGGTTTAATTTTGCATATAATTCTGGGTGTACAGATTTTGCAGTTCTAGCAGGAGTACAGTCTAGATACAGTGTTACGCACACACATAAATATCGGTCATAAATGTGCAAATTGAAGTTTTCCAAGTGATTTCTTGGCCAAATGCAGGCAGTTTTTCATGAAGATAGCATTGTATATTATGTAGTATAACAATACCCACGATACCAAACACTATCTCAGTTTCCAGAAGGAGGCAGGGAAAGGGGTACTGCAGCTCTCTGAAGTAAAAAGTCAGTCTGCCTAACTTTGAAAAAAACAACTATTTTCAGGAACAGATATAATGAAGTTGAAACATTTGCTTGAATTTTCAAAACAAATGAGGTTTGCATGTCTGAAATGCAAATTTCATCCCAGGAGGTTAAAGATTGGCAAAGTTATAAGCGAGGAAAGGCAGAATTTTATGAAAGAAGACATTTGTTCTGATTATAAATGTAAGGTTACCAAATATGGTGTCTCTGTTACATAAAGATTGTTGTGGAAGTCTCGGGGTTTTTTCTGTATTTCAAAAAATACATTTATTTTGTAGTCTGTGATCATAGTAATTTGTTATAAACAGGAAGAAAGTCTGGGTTGCAAAATAATTTTTGTTGTTTTCTTTTTTTCTCACAGTTGGGTTAGAGATTAAGATTAAATTGCCTTTTCCTTTTGTTCTATAAGGAATTCTCATTGTGATTTGTGATTACCTTTTAAAACTGTGTACCTTAATTTAAATAGAATGGGGAATTTGTATATTGTGTAGCAGGCAGTTTCAAACAGAAAGAATAATTTCTCTTAAACTGTGCTGCCACTGTCAATGTAATCTGGCCTGTACCTTGGTTGTGGAAAAGGCGATTTAGTACACGGAGTTAGATCAGAGCTGCGTCTGTTCAAAACTAATCTACCACTACCGTTGGTTTTCACTTTTGTATCGGCATAAAGGAAGAATTGGAAATGAGCAGATAGAGATGGAGAGAGAGTAGCATTGCCCCATCTGGCAATAACACTGATTTATGCCATGCTGAGCTGACTGTGGAATTGTAATACTATTTGCAGAATGGTTTTCCTTTATTTCATACCTTCATCAACTCAGTTATGACATCACAAAACGGGCAGTTCTTCCAATTATTATTGCTGAAGTAGTGCAGCAATATTGATACAGAAAGGAGAAAATGAGTACTATTTACCTTAAACTGCTTCAGCATGTTTGTGGTGCTTTGTTTGTAAATACATTATTTGCAGTGACTTGCTTTGTATCAGATGTTTTATTGAATTGAGTTTGTACAGGTTCAACATAGAAAAAAATAATTTCCTGTGTTTTCTTTTTTAGCCTTCTGTTGAGTCTTCAAGCCCAGGTAAATATTTTTGATATTTCCTAAACTTGTGAGGGAAGAGGGCACCCTTGAAAAATTATTTTTGCTGGTCTCTTCCAGTTAGTAATCTAAGGATGTAATTGGATGACTAGGTTGGTGGCAGTACTGGTGTAAGCAGTCACAGCTTTCTTCCAGTCTGTACCAGCATGAGTTTCTAAATGGTAAAAGACACTGGGGAAATATGATTCTTGCCTTTGCAAAAGCTGCACGAACACGTTTGGGAATGCTGACGTACTGAGGAGCACAGTGTGAGCGAGTGCTGGGACATGGAAGAGACTACTTCACCCAGCGATATCGTTACTGTCCCACTCGGCATGGCTGCCCCTTGGTGTTGGAGTCAAATGCAGAGTCAAACGTTAAGGCACGGTGTGCTCTCAATTAATAGATATACCGTTGCTGTAGGGTTTTATGCATAATAGCATCGAGAACAAAAGCAGCAAGAAAAGCAGGGGATTTTACCTTATTGGAATACTAAAAACGAAGGGGTTTATGACTTCTGTTTTTAAAGCTGGTTATTTCTGATATTCCAGTGTCCCAGAGCTACTGGCTGTGTAGTAGTCAACCTGAGTGTAAATCATGAATATCTGGGGGGGAGGGGTGTTCACTTTGTTACCACTGTACTTAGCATTATTTGTTTCCAAGGTTTTTGGTGTCCTACTAGTGGAAAAGCTCTCTAGTAGTTACTTTAACTGGACTGCCAGTTGTCTCTTGAGCTCTTATCTCTTTCAGAGAAACAATCAATTGCTTTAACACTTCAAAGTATAGTTAACCCTTACAGTCAAGCCCTCCCTTTTGCACCCTTAGTGTGGGTACACTCTTCAATCTTTGGAAAATGAAGTTTAAATTGTCCACGGAGATGAGTGGAAAAATGATAGGAGGGTTAGAATTAGAAATCAGGTATTGCTGAATTACATTAAAATGCTGCATCTGCCAAATCATTCATCCATTCATATATTTTTCATTGTCACAAAATATAACCAGACTTCTCTACAAAGAACTGGGAAGAAAAGGCGCAGGGACAAATAACTAAGGATTCTGCATCGTAAATAAAATCTGCATAACTCTGAAGCTTACTTTAAGTTTAAATTTTGGAAAAGTCATTAGACTGTCTTTGTAGTTCTCAACAAGAAAGCTTCCAAAGTACAAAGGAAACAACTTATATTTTATGAGTATTTCTGCTCCCAGTAGAACCCTTGATTCAGGCAAGTTTATGATTATTTAAGAATTAAGTCTTCAAAACCTGAACGTTTTACAAACACTTAACTAGGGGCCCCATGTCCAGATATTATATACATTGAGTACTTTGAGAACTGGCTGTTTAACCAGTATCTCCTGGTTCTTTTTATCATGATCTCTTACTACCCAAAGGACAGCTTTAACTCTCCTCTGAATAATGAGATTGGCTTTCCCTAAGATAAATGTTTGAGGGATTTTAAGATATTTTAATTTCTGAGTATAATTTGAGTATTAAAATGTCACCAAAATAAAAAATTAAACCTATGAGGCCATGATCTAACTAAAAACATTCTTTAAAATGTTTTCTATCAGGAGGTTCAGCAACATCTGATGACCATGAATTTGATCCATCAGCTGATATGCTGGTGCATGACTTTGATGATGAACGGACATTAGAAGAGGAGGAAATGATGGAAGGAGAAACAAACTTCAGTTCTGAAATAGAGGATCTTAACAGGGTAGGTGGCCTTAAGTAGTCATAAAACATAACCATAGCCCATAGACTCACACAAAACATACACAAACAGCTTTTTTCCCTTATGTTTGGAATTTAAAAAAACTACCCCTAAAACACTAGTAGGCAAATAGTATAGATGGGGGAAAGGGGCTGAGCTAAATTTGCAACTCTTGAAAGTTGGGAAAAGGAAAGTGGCACATAAGTACTTAATAATGTATAACACTGTACTTGTCCGGTTTCTTTTTGTGTGTATGTGCTAGTGTAGGGTTTGCATTCTAGAGCAATAGAAGTTAAAGCGTGCTCTGACTAAACTCATATATTCCAGTGTTGTTATTTTCTAAAGGACTTGGACTTGATTAGTGCATAGAGATTTTGATTATTTTTTTTAATTCCATAATTTTACATTTCTTTTGCATTTTTATACAAACATTTGTATAATACTTTAGTGGAACAAATAGGAGCATCTTCATTTTTAAGACAGAGGAAATGGAGATGCAGATGAAATTATTTGCTCAAAGCGAAGAGTTGTCAGCAGAGCTTGGATCAGAACTCACAATTATTGTTAATAGTGATAAATCTTAAAATGTCTGTCTTCTGAAATAATTGCATATAAGATTTATTTGGCATTTGAGGTTATGCCGTCACTTATGTATTGTCTTAAATTACTTCTCAGACAGGAATAATATTCTTAAACTAGAAACTAGCTTTATTATAAATGCAAAATAATTTAGCTACTATCTGTGACCTCATTGGCTGAAAAGGCTTCCAGAACTGATCACTAATGATTCCCAGGTGCATATTTGATGTACAAATGCTGTTTAGTATAAGTGATTATGTCAATATGACTTTAAATTACTTTAGTGTGTTTAATCTACATTTCGGGTGTAAATAATAATTTCTTTCTGGTAATTTTAGGTTTTATATTAAATGGTAAACACAAAGATAAATAAATAGTTTGTGAATCTAAATATGCTTCATCTAGATTAAATGAGAAACAGAGCTCCACATATAGGTCATGTGGTTTTTAAGTTGAAAATGTATTGTTTTTTTTTTTCCCCCTCATATTTTGTGAAGAGTCAACATCTGGTTGTATAATTCTATCACCACATTACAATGTTTGTAACTGTATTTTAGCCATCAGTTTATTCCCTCATATCTTGGTTGTCGGGGCTGCAAGTTTAGAATTTCTCCGTGTGCCAGCTCTTTTGTGGTCACAACGGTGAGCAATGGTATCACTTGGATTCGCGTTGCTCCCTGTGTTGCTCTTCTCCACAGAATGCTCTTACAGAGTGGCAGAGGTCTTGCGGTCAGTTTGTACGTGTATTTCAGGTAGGGCTTTTACGGAGTTTGAGTTGCTTCTGTGCCAGCAGGATCTTGCTAGAGACCTGTGGCTACTTCTGGTTGTGGACTAGCAGGCCACACTTCAAGGCTTACTTTTATCTTTTTTTATTTTTTTTTAATTTTTTTTAGTCATAGGTGATAGGCAATCTGAATCTCAAAACTATTGCCAAGACAAGTGCTGTCCTGTCTTTTTCTTTCCCCTGATACTTACGTGTATTATTTCAGATTTCCCCCAACCTGTGAATGTGCCCGATTTACTAGCTTGGCTCCTTCAGAGACGAGGTGGCAGTCAGGTTTTGCAAAAGAATTTTGGAATCTTAATGATTTAACTCCTGATTGTCATAAAAATTACACCTTCCTCTGAGGGTGAGGATCTTTTAAACTCATTGGTTGAAACTCTGGTGAATCTGTATTGCATTAGTACTTGTGGTTGAGCAGCATCCTGCATTTGTCTGTGCAAGTGCCTGTACACGTTTTTGTCTAAATGGCAGAAGGATATCTGTGTCTAGAGTCCTGAAGTCACCCTCTGTGCTGCTGTAGTATACAAGAAAATACAGTTCCCTGAAAGCAGGACAGTACCTGAAGGAAATCAGAAGTACTGGATTTGGTGGTTCTCAGTGATTTCTTGAAAGGTGAGAGCTTTTCTTGGGCATGAAAGCTCTCTGTGAGGTGGTGCAGCAGGCTGTCCTTGATCGTATCCGGACATGTATTTAGTAATACTGGTTTTGTATGTAGGAGCATCTGTACCAGATCTGACCAAAGTCCTGGCTAACCAGTAGTCCTTCTTCAGCAGCCTGAGAGACAGTGCTCAGGGAGGTGTGCCTGGGATGAGGCACATCTCTTGGCATCCTGAGTATATGCTGACACTGCAGTTTTCCAAAATGCAGGAAACTTGGCAGCATAATTTTGGTAGTTGGAAACTGCATTCACACTCTGTCTTGGAGATAATAAATGACCAGGCCCCAGCAAGTTGCAGAAACTCAACTTTCTCCTACTCTTAGCTAAGCAGACTGTGCAAAGCATCAGCTAGAGGGAGTGTTACGTGGAGGATTTGACAAGTGCAAGGCCAGGTTCTTTACCATTGTGCTGCCCCGTCTGTGGGCAGGGCACTGCTGGGTGGTGTGTGTTGGCTTCCTGGGTGCCTCTAGGAAGTGGTGAGCACTGCCCAGGGTGCTGTGTGTGGTGCCTCCCTGCATCGCTTACAGATTTTTAAGCCTTTGACTCCCTCCCTTTTTTCCATTTGTTGTTCCATACAGTCACTTGGTTTCTTGGGTTTTCTTAGGGTTATGCACCAGCATCCTCTTGTCTTTAAATGAGACACCCATACATGGAAGCACGCAGTGTTTCTCCCAAATACTCTTCCAGCCTCTAGCAGTGTGCAGTTCAGCCACATATGAAAAAGATGTTTCTTTGTCTGGAATGCCTGTCAGTCGTCTTTTTCCTTCTCCTGTGGATTTGTCCATTTGATTTTTAACCTCTGTAAACTTAGTGTCCGTGAGGCGTGTGGCAATGTTGCACAGTTCATTTAGCATGAGAAGCATGTTTGTTTTTTCAGACCTGTTCTGTGTTCATTTCAGTGGTTACCCTTCAGCTCTTCAAGTAGAAGAGTGTACAGTCATTTATATTTACCTTCTCTGTGCTGCTTCTGATACAGTTAGCTGTTACATCACTCCCCCTCTTACCTCTACTCCAGACACATGAGTTGTAATACGTTTCTTGTTATTAAGCATCTTCTACATAAGAAATTGATGTGTCTTTGATAAGACTTGCTACTTTTTTAACCTTTCCTGGTTTTGCAGTGTCCTGAAACAATACAGAAGTCACAATTTGTATTTTATCTTGGAGAGTTGTTGTCCCTTGGAGCTTTTTGAATTGTAATGGACTATTTGAAGTTAAGAGGCTCTACCTAAGAAAAATGTTGTAAATACAATGCCACTTTCCTAGGTAACATGTAGTGAGTAATATGCCTGTTACATGGTTCATACATACCTACGAATTGTAGTAGAAGTTATTTTAAATTCTTAGTCTGTATGTACAAATGGGGTAGTGGTGAGGAGTACTTAAAGTACATTACTTTCTGAAATGTGCTGGAGAACATTTGTTTGCATAATTATGAATAGGATTTTTCTGATAGCTGTACTGTCATGTTTTAATTGAGATCACAGTCCTGCCATGTTGTCTGTGTCAGTAAAACATTAATTCCCCACTTCTAAGAGTTCTTTCCATTAAATGATAGGTTAGGGACCAAGAAGTCAAGAGGGAAGGTGAGGACGTTTAGGTCCGCATGGTCTGCATCTAACCAAAGAGTAGACTGGTAAGTGGTAGAATGGCTTAGGTAAAATAAAATAAAATACACAGACAACGAGCACTGGTAACCCCTGTGTTACTCTTATTTTTACACAGCAGAACTATATACACTTGCCTTTTGTAATTGGTATTGTTAGTATGTTTCCAGAAATTAGAGGTGTGTTGGACAGTGAAGGCCCTTAGGGTGGGAGTTCATTGGAGGAAGTCTAAGGGCAGCCAGTAGCTAAAAAAATCTGATTATCAGCCAAGATGTACGTTGCATACTAAGAAGAAATATTTAAAGCAAGCAGACACCTCTAAATAATAAACAAAGGGTTTCATCTTGTGAGAGAGATCATTTTCAAATGCTCTGTGAATGTTTCTGCTCGGAAAAATCTCGTTGGGGATGCCATATACTGCCCCTGAAGGCTGGACACTGAGGTATTAAAAGTAATAAGTAATTTGCAGACCTGGCAATTAATCATTTTTATTAGTAAAGTGAATGCAATTGGTAACAGTTTGGGAGCCACCAAATTTGAGAACCGACTGTATCATTTGATTCTGTCTCTTCAGAGTGGTTCAGCATTCCAAATATAAAGTTTTTTACATGTGCACATATTTTAGCAGATTTGCTTCCAACCGTGGCCGGTTTTGTAGATGCCTAGCTTAAACTGTGTATGCATCTGTCAACATTACTACTATCTTTACCTGGATATTGGGTGATCTTGAGTATCAGGTGATCCTTCACCCCCATCCAACCCCTCATTTTTTGTTCTGCCCAGAAAGAGGAGAGATACAGAGGGACGGAGAGGTGCGTTTTGGGTGTAATTTTGTATTCAACACCAGGGTTGCAGAACTGTGTGGAATTGTCCCCGTAGCACAACTCCGCAGACAAAGATTTAATTCCATGTTCAAGCCAGGTGCTGTGCATTCTGGTCCTAATTCTGCTGAATTCTTGGAGACACTGCAGAAATCACTGCCTTGCACTAGGACAAGTTCCTGCCTGCAAAAATTGTCGATATCTTAGCTGTCTGTCTGAAGCAGTTGCTGCTGATACACATTTTATCTGTTTTTTCCTCAAATATGTACAAAATACTAGGTTTTTTCAGGTAGTCTTTGGGAGGTAGGTTCCAATAAGGAGGGCATCCGCTCTGTGTACTGAAGGGGTATGGTGTAACCACATGGAACCTGCGTCATTGCAATGCTTGTGTTTTAGTAAAATGGTAGTAGACAAGTACCGAGGGAAGGGTGGGGCATACTGCCCTTTGGTACCCTTCTAATGAGCTTTATGGCCCCTTTGAGAGTGTCCTGGTTTGAGCAGGAGAGTCTCTCTTGACAGAGGGATTGCTGGTGTGTGAGGTCTGCTATAAATTTCTAAAGGATTGGAAAATAAAAAGTTCCCTTGCATAAAAAAGCCGCACATTTTTCTTAGGGGCCGAAACTTTGGATTTTGACTGTCCATTCGTTTTGGAGTGGCCATTCCTAGTATACGTGATCGTCACCTGTCTGTTTTTGCTGTGTTGTTTCATGTGCACACCTTTAAGCTGTAGAGCAGATGTGGGGCGTGAAGCATTTTTGTTAAAATCTCCAACTTTGTTTGGATGTTTATCAGGAAAGTGATATGCCAATCCAAGAGCTCCTTAGCCGTTACGGCTATGATGGTGCCATTCCACTCCAAGAAGATGATGACGATGAAGACGATGAAGAGGAAGAGGAGGAGGGAGAGGATGATGATGATGTCGATAATGATGACAACAGTGGCTGTAGTGGTGAAAACAAAGTAAGTGTTTGCACTGATTTGAGACTGATTTTCGTACAGCCGTGGTGTACTAGACAACCACCCAAGATGCCAGATCATGGCAGGAGTAATTCGTAGTGTAGTTGATTTCAGATGCTTTGTGTACTCTAATGTTTATTCCTAATTACCCGTCTGTATTTCTCTTCATTGCTCTCAATTTCACCCATAGCATTCCAAACCGTTGGCAAATTAGAGTGCATGTATACATATAGCAGCATGTAAGAAGGGATTCTAGTTGTCCTTCAGAAATAGTCTGACTTCAAAACTGGTGCCTGAAGACACCTTTATAGATATGGCTGAATACTTGCTTCAAGAGGAAAAGCTGATCTACTGAAACTGAACAGTGAAGTGTGGAATTGAGTTAAACATGTCTCTAAGTATTGGAGATTGCTGCAAGTTTTCTAGCTTTGGCATTTTAAACTGTATTTTTTTCAGACTGGCTGCCCTGGTTGTTAACGGAATCTAATGCTTTGAGTCTTTGCAAAATGCGTAGTTTTGAAATTAGCATCTTTAAAATCCTGTTCCATGTGCTCTTCAAATAAATTTTCTGATTTTTGAAGAGTCTTTCCTGCTTGTGTATGTTATACATATTTGTGACAACCCTGTCCTGTCAGGGGCACAGCTGTAACTTCTCCATTACTGGTGGCATTCAGAGTTGCATCCTGAATTCCATTAAAATATGAAACCCTTTGTATTGTCCGTAACAAAAAAGCTTAGGAGTTAATGAGAGTTGCATTGCCTAGTCGGGCTTTAAAAAGGATACATTTTGGGGTTTTGATATCTCACCTGTTTTAGAATCTCTGGAATGCAACACAGAGATGAGGAATGATCTATCTCGTGCAGAAAATGGAGTTCTAAGGATTTACAAACTCCCTTGACAGATGCTGTAAAAGATTGCTATTTGTATGGGTTGAATAGTTCAAAAAGAGGAAAGATACATAGTTATATTATGCCCCAGAAGGTTCAAGAAGCTAGAGAGGGGGAGAAACTTACATAACATGAAGTATGCAAAATTAAAATAAGACACAAAGTGTTTTATTTTGTTGTGCATGCTGGTGTCCCTGAAGTCTCCTTTTCTTCTTGTGCCCTCTTAGTTGCTTCCTGACACAACTTCCGTCTTCTGTGTTCTCACAGCCTTCACTGTAGTTGTCCAGTTCTGTTACTGGCTGATTTGAGATACTGCCCGTCTTTTCTCTTAAATGGATAAAATCTCACTGTCTCTCACGGCTGTCGGCAGCAAGAGGAGCCGTCTTTGTCCATCTGCAGGGCACTAACCCTTTGTAGCGTGCTGCAGAAGCAAGTGTGTTCCTGCCCGTCGGCAGCAACAGCTCCCAGTCTGGCACCATAAGCACGGCCAGTGGTTTAGCCTAATTGCAGACTTGGCTCTGTGGTTAAATCGGAAGTATGGGTTCACCTCCTCTACCCCGGATTTGATAGGGTTGGAACAAAGGTGGTGAGGAGGACTGGGCACAAAGAGAGCTAGCTAACCTGTCATGATGGTTTGCCTCGGGGTACAAGAATGAGAGCTCTGAAACGCTTGCATACTCTTAGCAGAGTGGCAGTAAAATACATCTGTGGGGGTGGAATAATTTTATAAATCATTCAAGCTTTCTCTGCAAGTGCTCATCTTTCAACAGCTTATTTAGCTATACTGCACTTAGCTATTTTCTATTTTTAATCTGCTTTAAGCTGCACATGTGATAATACTCTGGTTACTGGTAAAGGTACACGTAAGCATGTGCTGCGCCTAATGCTTCTGTGTTAGAACTAGCAAGTGTGAGTGCTTACATTGTGATAAAACACATAAAAGATATTGACAACGTGCATTGAAATAGGAAATACTAATATTTTCTTTTAACCTTTGTCATTTTAATTTTCCTTAATTGTAATAATTCCCAGAGTTGTTGTGGTTTATCTTCTAATAAAGAAACTTGTTCTAATTTTTGATCTTTTAATGACTTGATGTACATACTCGAGTCTGCTGGTACGCTATTCCTGTGGGGTTGAACCACACTATTGACATTAATTTTTATGGAAAGTACCATTTCCATTTGATTGAGAAAAGTACAGCCAATAAATAGTTCCTCCCCTTTTTATTGAAAATTCATAAGGAAGGGTTTTAAAGACCAAAGTAAAATTTCAAGTTAAATGGAATTAAATTAAAACTGCAAGGATTTGCTTGACTGATTTAAAAAACTAGATGTGATATTTAATTGTGGTTCATGTTTCTGATTTGTCTGTCAGAGTCTGAGAGTTAAATTGATCTGCTTAAAATCCTGGTCAATAAATCATATGATATGTTTACACATTTTTGTGGCTCAGTCTGGACAGGCCACAGTCTATACTGTCGCTTCAAGTCAGATAAAAGATACTTGGGTTTGGTATATTGACAATGTTGGAAAAAAAATTGCTAGAATAGTGTCTGCCACATATAAGGGATAGCTGATCTCCTGTTTGCTTTTTTGTATTTAAGGAGGAGACCATAAAAGATTCATCAGGTCAGGAAGATGAGACACAGTCATCTAATGACGACCCAGCACCGTCTGTCGCTTCTCAAGATCCACAGGAGATAATTCGCCCTCGTCGATGTAAATATTTTGATACAAGTATGTACAGTTTAGTACTAAGCCCGGTAATCTCAGTATGGTTGACCTTTGGTTAAGAACAGCTCCAGTTAACTTCTGTTTCTGAAATGTGCATGTTGATACCTATAAACATTTGTTTGTTCTCTTTCATAACACTGCTCTTGGTTATGCTTAGAATAATAGACGAAAAAAGGCCTATTTTTAGCTGAATGCTAAAGCTTCTCTGCAGATAAGGGACTCTGTATAAGGACAGTAGATATTCTCTCTTCTTAAAGGATTAGATTTGTGGAAAAATTTATATTTCTACAGTTTTGAAAAAGCAGGCTCTTGGACAGTGGAAATTCTTTCATGACGCTGCTCCGAGTGTTCTAACAGTCCAGTTTATGATCCTGCAAACTGGTTTGTATAGATGAGCCCTTCAGAAAAACTTTCTTGTCCGTGGAGTCCAGGTGCTGTAAACGACCATTTAGCATGGTTTTACCTTACCATTGGAGTTTCAGCTGCCAGTTCACACTAAGGACGTAGGTAAAAAGTAGTTGTAAGTAGGAAACACACTGTTCTAACTAGGTAATTGCTGCACGGCACGTGATTATTGTGACAGGGCCTGGTAACACTGGGCTGTGTACTCATGCAAAGAAGGTGAGGAGTCCAACTGAAGGAAAAAGTAAAAGCTGAAATGTACTAGAAATAGAACCCCAGTTTTCTTCAAGATCAAAAATACAGGAAACAAAAGCAATGAAATCTGGAAAAGGCCAGAAATAACTTGAAATAATGAAGGGGGAGATAATGATGAAGAAAACTTGCTTCAAGAATTCCACGTTTCATACTGTTGCCACCACGTTTCATACTGTTGCCAGCATTGTTGACTGATTATTTTCTCTCTTGTTTTAAAATTTATTTTGCATCCGTTTGAGACTGTTGAGCTAGTGTTATGTAGCTGTCCTTTTAGACAACTCCTACTTCTGTGGCAATGGGATCTGAACCTAATTGGATTGGAACCCTTTAGTATTGAGCTATCAGCAGGGCCATTTGGACAACAGAGTTTTACCTTTCTTTGATGGAAATGGCTGTCACCAATGTTTGAATTCCTCCTGTTCTATGTTTTAACAAAC